ATATAAAGGTGATTCCAGTCACCAGCTGAGCAATCGCTGCAGTTTATTTAACCCTCTGCCCCATTTCTTAAGGGTTTATTCTGGCTCATTAAGAGATTAAGTTTCCTTCATATATTAATTTCTTTGTTAACTCTCCTACAGAAATCGTAAATCTCTTTCACTTCCCAGCAGGAGGGTCAGATGATAATGAGAGGAATGTGAAAGGTGAGAGAAAAGGCCTAAGGGAAGGGAGACTCTAGGGACTGCGTCATGGGATAGGTTTTAGCGCTGTTAGCGTGTCTTTATTTGTGTTCATCAGAAACAGAAAGAGTGGAAACTGTAGAAGGCTACAGGTTGTGGAATTTAGAGAAGTGGAAATTGAGCAAAATTACTTTTGGTTTGGTTTTTTTGAGTTTGCTTTTGTTAGAACTGCAAACCGGAGCTTTTGTCTGAGGGAGAGAAGAACCCTGCCCCACCACTTTTTTTCTAAACTGAAACCAAGTATCATCTAAACCAGGTATGAGCAACTTCAATGATTTGGCGGGCCGGACAGAAGTCACTCGCGGGTTGATTTTGGCCCGCAGCCTGCCAGTTTCCCATTCCTTGTCTAAACCAAAATGTCTCAACTCTACATGCTCATCACATGACAAATACATCAGTTACAKTTCTCATGTGTATTAGCAGCTAATATATCTTTTTTGCACAAATAGCTCTGTAAAAAATATACACAAATCAAAAAAGAATCATTAGTAGCTTATTATCAGCAGTGCATTTTGCAAACARTTTTGCTTTTTGAGTAACAGAAAGCAGTCCTGATTAAAACATCCTCTCGCACTCTGACAGGCTTAAAAAAGAAGAAGCAGTCAGGCATGTTTTGTTTCACCTCATTCACGCACCGAGTTGTACAGTAGTGCATCTGAGGTGTGTGCAGTTTCAGTCTGTTTTCAGTCTGCAGAGCTGTGTGTCACGTGAACTGCGAGACAGGTGTAAAGATGAAAAGACTGTTGGGGGTGGGGGGCAGGGTGTGCCGACGCCGTGACTGTTCTGACAGGCCTTTGGTATTTTACCAAGGAGCTCGAGTTGGAAAAAAAAACGTGCTCGTATTTCTCTCAGGATTGTACAGGTGTGTGTAAGTGTGTGTCTGTGACTGGAAGTGTGTGTCACATTGTGTCCCAGCACATACCTGCTCGCTTTGTTGTTTTGGGCTCAGGTGTGTGATTGATGTGAAGGACTGTAGGTCTTGATGATTGTTTAATCAAATGAGTTTGACAGCTGCAGCACAGAGGTGGTTTTGGCACCTCCAGTCTCCGTSACATCATCATTGTTCAGCCTTCTCTTCCAAAGACTTACGGAGAAAACTTATAAGCTCAATGTAAACATTAAAACAAAGTGACTGGTCTGGATTGTGTGTTTTCGGCACTTTCTTCAAACCCTGCTCTTTTGTCTCCTCTCAGCGTATGAGCCCGTTGGTGAGTCGGCGTGTGTGCCTGCCAGTGATGCTGCTGTGGTGCAGACCATTGTGATAATACACTCTCTCAGTGTGTTAACACTGCGAGAAATGGGAGGCTGAGTGAAAGAGAGCGAATAATTATGGTTCCCCCCTTTTTGTCTTGCTCCCTCAATTAAGCCCTGGGAGAGACAGATGGAGTACATTATCCACTTAAACCTCAAGAACAATAGGACCCCC